TTATATATATATATATATTGTAGAGATTATGATATCAATTTCATCTTTCACCTTTTTCTTTTCTTGACGTGTGTTATAAAAAAAATTACCACTTAAAAGTTAAAATTTCAAGCATTTTTTTGTGTTATATAAAGGAACAAATTCAACTACATAGAATAAAATAAAACAAGTCAATTAAAGATAACGAACAGAAAAATAGAGCAAATCAATGACACTATCATTTACGTATCAGAGTTTCACAAAATAGGAGAATGAGATGAGAACAGTACTACAATATTATATATGAGCAATGAATAATAGTGTAGTATTATTAGCAGAGAAAAAATGGAGAAGACAGGAACATAGGAAAAAAAAGATGAAAAACTCACTTGAAAGTTCTTGAAAAGTCACTTCAAACAATCCTTCAAAATCCGATGGGTTTGGATGAGATTGTTTTATGAATTTAGTATTTATAGATAATACTATAAAGTCCTTCAAAATCCCTCTCACACAACAATCCTTTAAAATCCTTATATTTTTGAATACCAATGGATTATTTTTAAGATGTAAAAAATTTCAAATGAATACCAATGGATTTTAATGGACTCTTTAAAAAATCTTGAAAATCCATATTGAATACCACTGAATTATTTTTAAGTGACATAAAATCTTAATTGAATATCAATGGATTTTTTTACTCAAAAAATGTCTTTTAAAATCCTACGAAATCCTAAACCAATACACCACCCTAAACCAAACTGCACTTATTTATAAATAGATTTTTTTTAAATACATAATAAATGTATACAATACTGACACATAACATAAAAAATGTTTTATAAAATTATAAGTTATTAAAAGGTGTTTTCCTATCCAAATATACATAATAATATTTAAATGGTTTTTTAGTAAAATTATAAGCTACTAAATTAAATATTAAAATAAAAAAATATGTACACTCTTAAACAACTAACCTTATATTATATATTTTTAGAGTATTTTTTAAATAAAAAATTATAAAAACTACAAAAACTAAATCAAATCACAAAATATTGATTTGATTTGAATGTTATAATTTATTCAAATTAAATCACATGAAACCATATTTAATTTTTTATTTGATTTATATGACTTTTATGACAAAATTAAACTAAACTGCATGGAATACCCTAGAAATACCCGCAAAACCAAAATAAAAGGAAGGCATTTTGCTCCCCTTTAGATACAACGTCAAACACTAATTGATGAGTCATTTTATAAAAGTGAAATTTGGTTAATCGATTTATTTTTTATAAAGGAAATCAATTTGATTTTTTTTAAAATATGAATCGACTTTTTTTTTAACTAGATCAATTCGATGTTGTTATCTATTTTATATGTATATATAAATTTTTTTAAAAAAATAAATTGAACTGACCTACTTTATTAAAAATTGATTAGATAATTAAATTGATTTTACAAAATGAATCAATTAAAAAAAATTTATTGTGGATGAGTTTAATTATGAATCGATTTGAACATACTTATTTTTAGATAAATTTATGCCTAATGGTGTGTTTGGATGAAGAAATTTACAAATTCAAGGAATTTTAAATTCTTGGTATTTGAATTACTTTGATTTCAATTTCTATCATTCTTAAAATATTTTGTTTGGATAAATCAATTCAAATTTATCAAATTTTAAATTATTAGGTTAGATATGATAATTTGATTCCATCATGGTAAAATTGATTTTAAAAATATATTTATATGTTGAGAATTTTTAAATTAAATTTTATAAAAATAAATATTAGCAAATTTTTAAATATTTAATCATTTTAAAAAATTAATATTATATAATATTTAATAATCTTAAAAATATTTTTGAATATTTAATAATTAAAAACATGAAGAAATAAGAAATAAGATAAAATATATAAATGAAATAAGAAGAAAAAAAATATGAGAAATTTCAAATTCTTACTTTTTTTAGAGAATTTGAAATTCTACTATTTCAAGGAATTTCATAAATGCTTGAATTTCAAATTCTTTATAAATTCTCTATCAAAATAAAGTATAAGAATTTTGGCGTGTCCGAGAAGGATTCATGTAAAGCAGACAATAAAATGAAGCCCGCAGCAAATTTTGTAGCCATCAAGTGAAAAGTTAATGACATGATAATTACACTAAGACTAATAAAAAACGAGTTCCAACTCTTGTAAGCCTAACCCACTCACTTGATAAGTGGGAAGTGGATAAAAGTTTCGTTCATTGACAACTACCAGCTATAAAGGTCCTATAAATATGGGAATTGGTCCCAACCAAAATGGATGCAATTTATCATATTCATATTTAGTTGTGATGTTTTACGGTCTTTATTTATCATTTTCTCTTTTAAATTAATTGTTTACTGTTCTATTTTATTTTAAGCATATTTAAAAATTTAGGTAGTATTTGATAGTGGAACAAGATAAAACACAACAGAATGAAACAGAACAATAATATATTTATATTGTATTTAGTAATAAAATAATAGAACGGAATCATGTTTTATATTTTGTGTTTGGTGTTTGTTAAACAGAAACAGGAAGTTTAATTACATAATTGAGAAAGATAATCTCACATTTTTTTGACTTCTATGAAAGAAAAAAAAAATCTTTTACATAATTCACCTAAAACATTATTATATAATTAACAAAAATAAAAAATAAAAAACTTTTGGTTATGCTATATGAAGGTCCTAGTCAAAAGTGTGACAAAAAACACAATCAGTTTAGTATTACTCATTCTACTTGATGTAAAGGCCTTATTGGACAGTGCTGTGGGTGGTAGTGCTGGTGTGGATTCCACAACATTTATTGCAATTTTCATTCCTTGGGAACAGAAGCCTCTGCCACAAAGGAAATAATATGGCCTTGCCTCTAAGAGCTGGAAAACATCTCTCCCTCCTCTTGTGATGTTATTAATGAAGCTTGTGTCAATACAATTTTCATAATTTGTTTTGTTCACTTCCAAAACATTGTAGATGTGCTTGTCAAAACCAAAATCTATGTACACAAAGGGAAATTGGTTAGCAAAGTACATTGCATATGCATATGTGAAGTATAATCCGTACTTAATTAGTACTCCTTCCGTTTTTTTATAGTCGTTTAAGGTTTTGCACGGGACTTAAGAAAATCATTAATATTTTAGTTTTCAAAAATATTTATTACTTACTTTCCTATTTTACCCTTTATTTTTTTTTTTTTTGCATTTTTGAGACTGTTGAACTGCAATCTACTCCATTAATTATTAATGCATTGATTACACGTGAACTGTAACATACTGGTCCTTGAATTAATGGTTATAGTTAAAGAGTCTTGTAAATAGTTGTCCCTCTTTTTGTTTTTTTTATAGTATTTTGTTGGGAACATATTGTTATTATAATTGCACATTAACTTTATATGGGTAGTTGGAGAAAAAATAGATAGACATTAAAAATAAATACACACATTGTTCAGTAAACATGTATTAATTATCAAGGGTAAAAATGGAGAAAAAAAATTAATAAGTCATTGATTTTAGTAAAATGACAATGAAAAAAAAATAACAAATTTTGACAAAACGACTATGAAAAAAAATGGAGGGAGTATATAAAAACGATTTATGTTTTTGTGTAAAAATTTTCAAACTCTTTTACTCTTATAAATTATAACTATCTTTATTTCATTCAATTACATTTTCTTTCTCAAATTTCCTTCGTTTATTAAAGAATCACTTAATCTATTATTTTTATTTTATTATTTTTAAAATATAAAAAAATAAAGTGTCACTTTTACATTTATAATCAATTATGGAAATTGAAGACACTTACATAGCCAATCACCCTTGTAGAAGTGCTCATGACTTGCCCATTTTGTGAAGTTAACTTTTGGTGTCCATGTATACCTTCCTCCTCCAACCCTGTGTAGTGTAGGGTCTCTCCCTTCAATTTTGTAATGCCCCATTATTGTGAAGGTCATCAATATGCATAAGATTATTTTTCCCCTAAATTTCATTCTCGACAGATGTGTTTTAAGTATGAAAAACTTCTTTGGTAAAAGGAAACAAGCTAGGAACTGCACACAATGTTCATATGGGTCAGTTTGTATAACCAATTTCAAATGATAGAAGATTTTAAATGAGATTTTGATTTTGGAGTGTGCAAAAAGAAGTATTTTGTGGAAAATTTCATGAGGGTTGAATCATCACAAAAGTGTGCTGAAAATTGATGCCAGATTTTGTGTGATTCTACCGGTTTGGTTCATTCAAAAGTACTAAATCATGCTTGTTTCAATAATGCTAGCAGTTCTTTAATTATTATAGACAATCAAAAGAAAAAGACTTAAATCAAGATTAAGGTTTGGCAAAAATTGAAGAAAAAAAAAAAGAAAAGAAAAGCAAAATAAAACACGCGTGTAGTGCTCATGAATTTCTATGGTATCAACCAAATGTGGCTCATCAATTCTACGTTAGTTCAAAAATTAAAAATAAAAAATAAAAAAAAGATTTTATGTACAAAATTTCATTACAAAGTTGGACAGAACATGCTCCAATGTTTCCTTTCCCAACAAAAATAGAACATCTCAGCTAGAAAACAAAATTAATAAAATGAAGATTAAATATTAATTTTTAATAGAGATATATCTTTTTCTAAATCATATTATTTGTACAAAATATTTACCAACTTTGTCAAAAATTAGTCACCATTATTTTTTGAATCTTCCCTCTCAATTGTATTTTTTGAATTTTTCTCTTCTAAAGGTTATTTTTTAGGGAATTGCGCTTTAGAAAATAAAGTGTAATAGTAACTATTAATTAAAAATTCAACTATTTTTATTATAATTAATTTTAAGTAAATACCCTACATGCTCTCTGGAAAATAGTAATGGATAGATTTTTGAAAGATTTTTTGTGGCATCTATGTTCCTAAATTTTAATTTCATTATGCAAATTAATTTATCTATTATACTCGATTATTCTATTAATCTTGTGATCAATTAACTACTAATTGTCACGTTAGCACGTATTCTCTCTTCCAATTAACATAGAGGATGACTATCATTAAGTTCTAAAACCTTGCATTATGATTCATATTAGGTGATAAGGAGAGAGAGAGAAGAACCAGTTACAAGAGATAATAAATGTCAACCTAATAATTAACCTATTCAAGAAACTAACAAAGTTAGTAACTTAGTATAATAGAAGGATTAATTTGCATAATGATGTTAAAATTTATGAACCTATATGCCAAAAGTTAAATGTAGGGATCTATTAGTCACCCTTGCCACCTTTCAAGGACCAAATTGGGTGTTTGCTCAATTAAATTTATATTTTATTATGCATGAATTTGATTTTATCACAATTTTCAATTGTTGATTCTCTAATCAACAATTGTGAGTGCACTTTATCCTCTAATGTACACTCTCATTTTAAAAGGGCTAAATTCACATTTTTTTCTATTAAAAAATAGGGATGACATGGATAGGATCTTATAGCACTCATTCATGTACCTGTGATTAAAACTAATACATGTACTTGATCCAATATCTGCGTAGTTAGCAAATTCAATCCTCATCCTTGTATTTGTTGGGTACATAGATCCCTTATACATGCATTCATGACTCCATTTTACTTATATACAAGGTTAATAATAATAAATTAATAAAATTTAATTAAAACAATTACTACAATTATATTTTAAAAAAAAATCTTAAATAATTTAAACATAACCTTAAAAACAAACACACGTAATATTAAAAATAAGTAAATATAACATTGATTTATTCAAACTCAAGACATAAATAAACATTACAAAATATAATATCCAACATAACAATTGTTAAAATTAATGTTTCAATCTATAACAAAAACTCTTATTAAACTTGGACGTCAAAAAACAATATATTGAAATTGACTAGCTTATAATTATATAGGTTTAGTTATGTTTTTAGTTATCCAAGTTTTGGGTATATATTTTTTTGGTCCGAAAAATTTAAAATTTATATTTTTAGTCTTCAAAATTTCATAAATTATTATTTTGATCCCTCAAATTTAATATTTATTATTGTAGTTCTTGTAATTTCAAAAATATTATTTTAGTTTCTCAATATATTTTTTTGGGCCTCAAATTTAAAATATGTTTTTAGTTTCTAAAATATAAAGAATTATCATTTTAGTCTTTTTTTCAAATATCATTAATAAATTTGTCATACAAAATTCTTTAATTAGCATCATTATTAATAAAAACATCATATTAAACATCATATTTTTAATTAACCACCGGCCGTACCCCCTATTATATAATTACTATTATTTTATTTTTTTAAAAGTCATTAATTACAAAGTATTCCTTTCACAATAGTGTATATTATATGAATATAATTACAAATTTTAAATACTATTGTAAATTAATCCCTATGAAGTTATCGGATATAAAATCACTCAATATAGTATTATTAAGAATTAACTAAAGCATGGAGTGTAATAACTAAAATCAAAGGGAATTAATCAAAGCATGGATTAAAAAAAAAAAAAAACTAAAGCATGGATTGTAATAACTACTAGATCGACTTAGTAACTTACTATTATTGTAATTTTTATTAATATAAAAAATTAAAGCAGTCGAATTTTTGTCACGATCATTAAACCCACCCAAAGAATCGCATAATACTTTTTTTTTCCTTTGGTTCCTTTCTTGTAATTGCACTAAAAGTTGATGTTATTATTAACTTAACTATCACATAAAAATTAATGAGATGCTAAAAATCCTCGAATAAAGTATTATCATCTACTTAGTTATTAGTTAAAGTTTAATAGTGTTGAATCTGATCAAAAACTAAACCTTATGTAAGTCCATCTTTCATTTTCTCTCTGTTTTTTCTTCATCAACTTCTCATAAAGCTACGACAAGCCTCATTTTGTCAAATTTTTATGCGGATTTTACACTTATAATGCTCTATGTTGACTTTTAGCTTCATGATTTATTTTATTTTTCTTGATTTAGCTTCTCTCATTACGAGTTACATTTCCTTTGAATTATCTTGATTGTTTACGTTAATATTTAAATTGTTTAAGTTATCTTAATTATTTGAATTACTATATTTAAATTATTTCACCATTATTGCAAGTCTTAACAATCTTTTCTCATTTTTTATTAGAATTAACTTTCAATATATTAGCTTAAATGTTCACTCATTACAAATATAATAATTAATCATATATTTTATTGTAAATATTTAGTTATTATTAATGTAGACATAAATATTTTAAAAAAATATTGTATATAAAATTATTCAAGTTATTATTTCTACTATAATAAAGTCAGAAAAGTGAATTATGTGATTGAGATGTCAGAAAAATGAAATTCTCTTCCATAACTACAAGAGGCATCTACTATGTTGATTTGTTAAATTTTAAATGATTTACTGAATTTCTTAATTTAACTTCTTACAGCATGAGTTACATTTCCTTTCAATCATCTCAATTGTTTTAATCACTACTTAAATTAATTATTTAAATACATTATCATTTGAATTGTTGAAGTTATTTTAGTAATATTAGTTACCCTATTTAAATTGTTTGATTCTATCTTAAACTCAATAGCAAAGTTTCAAAAGAAAAGACGAAAGAGTAGTTTTGACAACTCTTAACAAATCAATTATATTTGCAACACAAAATTATTTTGAGTAAACTATCCCGATGCATAAGATTTTGTGAAATTACACAAACATGTACTTTTTCTACTACTACAATAATCGCCCTTAATTATTTAAAAAAATATTACACTTAAATCCCTTATACATTACATTAGTCTTCCTTAATTATTTAAAAAATAGTACATTACAATGTCTTGTAGGAAAGATTACTGTAAACATGAAAAAAGGTATTAGTGCAATTTCATCGAACCTCAAGGTTATTAGTATAATTTACTCTTATTTAAAAAAATATGATACACAAATATGTTTAACAATATATAAAATTAAAAAATATAAAAATAATTTATCTATTCACATAGTTATCAATTATAAATTTTAATTTAACAAAAAATTTTAATTAATATAATAAATTCATATTTCTTTAGGCTTGAAGGTGACAAATCATACAGCCCGGCTTGATGCAATTGTTGGGCTGACGTAAATTTTATTCGAACTGAGATTTTAATGCCCAATCTGACCCTATAGCAAGTCAACAGGATAAATCGACCCTGATTAAAATAAAATTAAACATGTTTAATGTATAAATTTCGAAGATATATAAATAATAGTTGATAGAACTGAACCAAATAATTCAACATCGTAATTATTTGTCACTTGGGGAAAAAAGGCCACACAGTACTAGGGATGTCAACGGGGTAAGTCGGGTACGGATTTCATGATACTCGTTCCCGTTCCCGCGAGTCAAACTCATCCCCGTTCCAGTACCCATATCTATCAGGTATATAATTTTCATCTTCATCCCCGTCCCCGTCGGGTATCAGGTATACTCGTACCCATCAATTTTTTTTATTTTTATTTTTTGTAAAAAAATATTATATTTTTAAATTATTTTTTATTATATTATAATTATAATTAAATTATTTCTCTATCTTGTATTATAATAAATAATCCCACATAAAAACATATTAAATTTTTTTAATATAATTAAATTGAAAGTGAGTATTAAATTAAAAATAAGAACAGGGACAGGTTCGAGACAGGTAAGTACATATCCGTACCCGATTTAATATATCGAGTTTTACCCGTACCCGTACCCGATCAAATCAAGTATTCTCTGTCAAAGTCGGGACGAGTTCGAATATTACCCGCGAGTACGGATATATTTGTCATCCCTACACCGTACTCTCCATTTTTTTAAAAAATAATGAGTAAATTATTCACATAATCAAAAATTTGAAAACCGTTAAATGTTATGATCAAGTAAAAAAAAACAAATAAATAAATATAAGAGAATGGAAGAGAATCTGATATAAAGGTAGTTATAAATGTAAATTAATTTAAATTCTGTGTACACAAAAAAGAATACCCTTATAAAAGTATAGATTTAATGTATGTTTGAATTTCAGTTTAAAATCACATTTAACAAAAAAAAAAAATACATGTTCCAATGCAAAAAAATAAAAATGACTTAAGAATGTAACTTTTTTCTCAACTTTATTGAATTCAACTCAACTGATTATCAAATACATTCTTAGAGTTCAAGGACATCCGTCACAAATAATACTACACACCTAATAGAGAGCATGTGTTCTGAGTTGAATTTCGTCCAGAAAGCTATCCCATGCCATTTTTTCCCCCTCCATCTACTCTACTGTCATTGAGAAGTGAAGAGAAAAACAGTTGTTTTGGTTTAGTTCTTAAAACACTTATTTTGAAAGCAGATTTTAAAATTTAATAGACTTAAGATGATAAATTGATTGCTAAGTAAAATACAATTTTAAAACAAACAAAAATGAAACGGAAATCAAGTCCTAAGTCCTAACAAGTTTTCAAGACTCCCTCAAGTTTTGTATAGTTTGTTGATCACACCCAGCTTGCAAATTGAAATCGCACATCAGCTACATTCCAGGGCAAGATCTGTATCAACTGTACTTCCTACCTTGTACTTTCTTAAAATCAAGGCACAAACTTTTGCCTTCAAGGAAACAAGTCTTGAATATCCACAATATCAGCAAGGACACCGGCAGCAGTAGTGTCATTTCCAGCACCAGCACCTTGAATAACCAGTGGTTGGTTACTATAGCATCGAGTGTATATTTCCAACTGCCATTTGTATCAACGTACAGTACAATAGAATACAGTCAGGCATTTGAAGTTGCAATATAGCAAAGCAAAAGAGAGATAGGATGAAGCATGTAGGGTCAAGGTCATGCCTTTAAATTTGGTAAAAAAAAATGTAATTATTTTGAGTATGCATATTATTAATATGAAGTATCTATCAGTTTTGTTGATAATTAATCTTTTTCAGAAAACTTGACCGACTATTCTTTATTCTTTAGTGAAATTTCTCCCAATCTCATTTTTATCATTTACTAGACTCAAACTCAAGACCATGTTTAAATGATCCGAGTTGAGGAAGCAATGACTTGTCGGTGAAAAGAATCCTAATTAATAATGAATGACACGGCTTTTTTACACGAGGGTTAATCTTGTTGACAAACACAACTTTTACTTTACTCTTTTTGAAAAACAAAAAACAGAAGTCGTGTTTCAACATCACGACTTTTATTTGTTATTAAAATAGAAGAGTCCTGTTTGTGAAATACGATTTCCACTCTAGAAGTTGTGTTTCACAAAAACATGTTGTCCATTTCGGAATTTTTTAAGAAATTTACCCATTTCGGAAATTTTAAAAAAAGTTAACCCTCTTTTGTAAAAAAAAGCTGCTTGACAGTTGACACAACATTGAGAAAATAAAAGCTTACCACATTATCACTTCCTCTTAGTCTTCCCAAGGGAGAATTCTTTGGAAGCTCCTGAATACCAACTTCACACCTAAGAGAAAGTTACAATTAGCATAAAAGAATCACAATATTGAAGGTGAATAATTTTAAACAACAAACATTACCAAATCTTATACAAAGATTGAATTGGAAATGAAGAAAAGATAAAAAAGAAAAACATATGTGCAAAGGTGCAACATCAATGCTTGATTGAAGACACATTGTGAAGAAAGGGAAAAGAAGATGCCTTGAGCCCTCAATCACACAGACATAGCGCAGCACATTTCCATTTGAGGCTGCCTTCTCAACTCTATCTTGAATATCTTTATCTAGCAACAAGACTCCACGGTCCATGAAATCTTCAACAGTCATTACATCAGGCCCCATTTCTTTCGGATACAAGCTCTCAATCTTTAAAATGCATATAAAATTATAAATATACCTTATAACAGGGAAAATTTTAACACAGAAATAGAAAAGGAAGGGACAGGGAAGTGGAATAAAAATTCAGACCACACAAACCTGAATACTATCCAGATTAATTTGATGGCCAAGTATTCGAGCAAGAATTAAAGCCTGTTTTGATATTGGTCCGAACACAAAAGTTAGTATTAGCACATTTTAAGCTGCTATTCATAATAAAACACAACCATCAGTTTACAAATTTATACTAAATGTCATAAGATAAGAAATGATTAACTTAAAAGTTGCTAAAGTACAATATCACAACTTAAGAAATGAAAACTCAAACTCCACCACTAGCTGGACATGGTATATACACTTCTTACAAGAATAAACTGATATGCCTATTATCAAAAGGCAGACATCATTCAAATTTATGGTTCATTAATGTACAGTGTCCTTATGAGACCAAAAAGCATTTTCTGTTGATTACAAAACATTGAGTTCTTACATAGAGCAGAAACAGATACAAAATTCATATGCAGAGGTAAAGCAAACCACATTGAACCTTTCTAGCAACATCCATTCCACCAAGGTCGTCACGTGGATCTGCAAAAGATGGTATGTGTAAATAATCTAAACCCCTAAAAGATAAATCATAATACTAACTGTTTAGCAATTAGCAGATGGGGCCCAAGAGAGAATCACCAAAAACATGAAGATTAATCATGCCAATATCAAACCTAAGAAACTATTTCATAATGTTAATAGCTCATTCAAATAGAAATGTTTAAAAGGAAAAGCATGTCAGTGAAATGTTGGGATTAAATAAAAAAAAAAGTTGGAAATTGGAATTATAGGATTTAGGTGGGGAAGGAGACAGGCGAGGTTGAAGACTATGAATAATAATTAGATCGAAATTGTGTGTTGATCATGTGATACAAAATACTGACCCAATGGTCCTATTTATACTAATAATCAGTGTTGTTAAATGGCGGTTATGACGGCGCCATAGCGGTATGGCGGTGACGGCCGTGTTCCGTTATGGCTATTTGGCCTCTGTATGGCACGGGTCCGCCATTTTGCAAATGGGGGCCGTTATGGCAGTAACGGCAGCGGTTTACGACAGTCATGGTGCCCGTTTTGGGCTCTTTTTTTTCTCCCATTTTTCCGAGTTTGGACCTGGTTTTTTTTGGGGTTTGGGCTTTCCATGTTTTCCATTTTCATGAATAGGTTCGCAGCGAAAGCCTAACCCTAAAGTTCTGAAACATTGCCTCCTCCGTGCAACATCAATGGCGTGCCTCCTCCGATGAGTTCTACCGCTGTTGCCGCCTCCAACACGACCACCACCATGCGCGTGATTCTACTCCGCTTCTTCTCCCTCTGCACGCGATTCTGCTCCGCTTCTTCTCCCTCCGCGCGCGATTCTGCCCCGCTCCTTCTCCCTCTGCGTGCAATTCTGCACCTTCTCCGTTCGTGTTTTGCTGTTTTTTTTTTGTTTACACTATTTCTTTGTTTTGATGGATATTTAATCCTTTTGTTGGTTAGGAGTTTATGTCTTTTTATGATGACTATCACTAGATTATGAATGCCATGAATTTTAGATTGTTATATTGTTGGTTTTAATATATGTGTTTGTTATTTTTTTGTTTTTGCATCATATTATATATATATATATATATATATATTTTATTTTTTTATTTATTTTTTTTTGTCTGCCATGATGTCCGCGATGGCAGTATGGCACTTAAAGGTCCTTGCCGCCATCCGGTGTACAACCTTACTGACAACCTTGCTAATAATTAGGTAA